ATCGCTTCGAGGTGGATTTCGGACGTGGAGGCACGTTTCTTCACGTGTTCATGTCCCGAGGGTCAGAAGGTGAAGTTTGCGGTGAATCTTCTTCGTTGGGGTGTGAAGGATTGGTGGGAGTTTGTGACCCAGGGCTTTTTTCAGGTCGAGCAAGCTGTAATGACTTGGGAGCACTTTATGGACATGTTCCAAGCAAAGTATATTCCGCTGGTGGAGCGGGAGCGATTAGCTCAAGAGTACCTGGATTTGAGGCAGACGACTAAGTCGAAGACAGAAATCACCAAGATGTTCACTAAGAAGGCTTTGTTCTGCCCTGAGCTTGCTGCTTCAGAGCAGTCTTAGATGACTTGGTACTTGAGCATGCTCAAGACGGATATTCAGTAGTTTATGTCTACCCAGCGTTGCATTATCCTTGCTGAGCTTCAGGATATCGCAAGGAGGCAAGAGATTGAAAAAGACCCAGGCGAGGGAGCGGTGTCAGACTCCTGTTCAATCCCAACCTGCAGCGAAGCGGTTCAAGTCCACCAGCCAGAGTCCGGGATCAGTTGAGGGGAGGTGGATATCCTTTGTCTGTCACAGGTGTGGCGAGGAGGGCCATTTTGGTAGACATTACAGGCGGAGTGCGCGATTTTGTTTCCATTGCGGCCAAGAATGCCAGATCACAGCTCGTTGTCTTTTTCTCGTTTTTGGTGAGGTGTTGGATCCTACACCCTTAGCTTTCCATTTACCCGACGGTCGTCATGGGACGACCAAGTCTCGTAGACTGAGATTTAAGTTAACAATTCTTCTATTTAGCAATTGTTGCACTATTGGTATTCATCTGTAATTCTTTTTTGTATTTCAAGTTCAGTTGTAATCTTGGATGATCGGTTGAATGGAATTATATTGTTTTAACTCTGTTTAATCTGATTTCATGTTATGAATGGATTAATTATCATTATCCTCAAAATATATGTGTGTTGGACATTTATGAATGTTGTGAGGGTTAAGATTCTCCTCTGTATCAGGATATTAGTGGTTGGGATCTAGTGGTGGAGTTCAAGTTAGGCTGAGTATCTTAGGATTGTGAAGTTTTCAGACTCTAGCATATCTCAAGTGGGGGAGAGTGGAACCTCGTAGTAGGAAGACCTTGTGTCAAGGTTCGGTTCTTAGTCGAATTTCTCCAAATTCAAGACTTCCAAGCAACTGCTGGATCTTCTGGTTTTGCGTCAAGATCATCGTTCACTGTTGGATTTCCCTTCGGTTTGTATTAGTTTTAGTTGTAATATGATATGTAGGGCATGATTTTGTTAGGCTCTAGGATGTTAGGGGGCCCAGGTTGAGGGATGTGATGAGGACTTCCTTCTCTGATCTTGTTTGATTGGGGATTAAAGGTCTGAGTCACAACTCAAAGACTTGGTAGGATCAGTTGAGTCTTGTTAGACCCGAGTGTTGTTGTCAATTAATGGATCGGGGGTATGCCTGAGTGCTGCTGTTGATTTGTGGATCGGGGGTAGGACCATGTGTTGTTGTCGGTTAGTGGATCGGGGGTAAGCCTTAGTATTGTTGTCGATTAGCGGATCAGGGGTGAGCATGAGTGTTATCAGCAGATAGCTAAGCAGGGTTGTCGAAGCCGAGTATGAGTGTGGTCTAGTTCAGTATATGACCAGTTAGTTTTCATTGTGGTGATACACTTTGTGTGGGATTAGCATGACAACATAAGCCGATCAGCTCTTGGACCGATTAAATCTTCAGATTTTTGGATATCTTAGTTTCTTGGGGTTGTGCATGATTTTGGGATCTGCATGTCATGGATTAGGAAAGGGAATTCTTCATTCATGGGATGGTTTTCCTTCAGGTCGTCTTTTCTCGTTAAATATACAGAGGTGTCGGAAGATCAATGAATATTGTGGGAGTTGTAATTTATACTGTTGGGGTCTCTGTTCGAATTGGCTAATCAGCTTGGGCATGGAACCTGTCTTGTCGATCTTTGTAGTTGCCGGTATGTGAATGATATCAGCTTGTGGCAAGGGAGTCGGGTTTGAAGAACCTACGAGCGGTTTAGAGGGTGTTTGAGTGGAGACTCCAAGAGCTGATTTCGAGGACGAAATCTAATTTAAGTGGGGAAGAATTGTAACATCCCGTTTTCCGAAGATGGTGGGCCAAAACTTAAAGAATCAAATAAGGATTTTTTTAAGCGGACCCTCAGCCACGACGTGGGGCTTAGATGCCCACGAGGTGGCGTGATACTTATCGAACACGTGTTTTTGAGTGCCACCATAGTGTGGAAATGGATGCCCACGGCGTGGCACCTGTTCAGGCTCAAGCCCATGTATTTTAGGGTTTCATCCATATTTAAGAATCTTAACACCCATTTTAGGTCACCTTCTTCGGCCTCCATCCCTTCATCTTGAAACCCTAGCCTCCATCACTTTTAAAAGTTCATTTCTGGTGCTTTTTTGGTATTCTTTGAAGGATAAGGAATTTATTGGTGTGGTTTATCGCCTTGTAAGAAACATACATCTTCTATCACATCTTCTGGACTTGGGTGAGTGTTCAAGACTCAATCTTTTCCTTGCTAAGTTGATAGATCTTGGATTTTGGTCTGTTTTCTTTATATCTTGTGGATTTTGGAGGATGGGATCTCATAAAGTTTGCAACTTTATGAATCCCCGAGGCATTTGGAGTATTTGGCTCTTTGGATCTGTAGTAGAATTGAATTTTAAGGCCATGTAAGGAATCTTGGCCCTTTTGCCCTTGTTTTGACCTAATAAGACTTCAAGGCATGCATTGGACATGCATGCCTAAGAAGCACGGATTTTTATGATGGAAATGTTGCTAGAAACCCTTCTGGAGTTGCTGGTCAATAGATCTTCGAGTTTAAATGCTTATTGATTAAGCCATGTCATGTTTTTTTCCCTATTTAGACCTAGGAGTGAGATCTCTATCTCTTGGAGGGTCTAAAGGGATAAAGTTGGAAACTTTATCCACTTGGACGTTAGAAAGGACCATATATGAGTTTTGGAGCCCTTGAAGTTCGAAACGAAAATGACTTAGTGGTTTAAGCTGCCCATACCAGTCCCCATGGTGTGGATTTGATCACCACGATGTGGCGACTGGCGATGGTGTGCCAAGGATGTCCACGACGTGGCGACCTACTGTAGTTGACTTTGGTGTTGACCGTTGACTTTTTGACCAAGTTTGACCTTGGGTTAAACTTGAGGGTTTTGGGCTGTTGATTAAGAATTTACTTGGTTTTGGTAATTAGCGGATTCATGGGTGCAAGTAGTGCTGAAAAAGGGTCGTATCACAGTGTTTCATATTTCTTCGATTCCAGTGAGTTTTGCCTCATTATACCCGTGGGTCGAAGGCACCAATGCCGACCCACTAGTTTTGGTTATCTTTTACTAGAGGGATGTCGTAGGGGCTGTATATGGTCATGCATGATAGACTGAGGACTCTTGATCTAGGCTCTCTTGTCTGTTTCTTGTTTGGTTGTGGCTCTAGAGTAGGATCATTTGTCCAGGTGTCTATCTCACCTCTTAGTATATAAAATCATGTATTCCTTGGATTGTTGGTACTTCGTATATTGATATGTTGTAGTGATATTTTAGATTTGTGTCCCGGTATGTAGGATGTTGTTATGTGGTAGGAATTTGTAGATCTGTATGTCTACCTGTACTTGCTGGTTATCGTCTAGTGGGGTTCCCTAGGGACTGTATCTAGTCGTGTAGGATAGCCTGAGAACTCTTGATCCAGGCTTTCTTGCATGTTCCTTGTTTGGTTGTGGCTCTAGAGTAGGATCATCTGTTCGGGTGGCTATCTCACCTCTGGTTACTTATGGTTACGCATTTCATAAAGGTTAGCTGGTAGTTGGATAGTGTGCGGTGTGAGTACTAGTAGGTGGTAGTGAGCTGTATGAATAGATGTTTACATGTATTATGTACCCTACTTGATCCTGATTGTTTATATGTGGACATATAATAGGAATAGGTTGAGGCTATCCTACTTTGTGTTGTAGGTAGCGGGCCGGCCGTAAGCCATAGGCATTGAGGCTCGGGAAGAGCGGTGAGCTTGAGTCGGTAGGCCAACAAACCCTGTGTATTCCAGCCCGATGGCTGATTGGACCTGTTGCATGTTGGCATTCCAGTCCGAGGACTGATTGGGCCTGGGCATTCCAACTGGGAGGTTATGAGCCGTTATGCATGCTTGTATGTTTATCGTATGGGGTATTTTGGGGGAAACTCACTAAGTTTTATGTTTACCCAGTTGTTTATTGTTTCAGGTATCATCGGTGACTTTGGAAATAAATGGTTTTCTTAAAACCGTTTTTATAGTCGGGAAGTTTTACTTTAAATAAAATGAAACTTTTGGTCGTGAAAATGAGACGTTATATATGAACATTTCAAATCCACAATCAAATTTTTTCATCAAACTATATAAAATCAATATTTTAGTATAAATGGTATTTAAAATTTTAAGATTTTAAAGATTTATACATTATCTATAGCCAATTATGATAAACAAAGTGTGTAATTACAGGTTTTTTTAGTTTTTTTTAGAAGTGAATTCATCTAGACTGACCATTTGGAAAATATATCGATGTCTTGAATTTGATTACTTTACAGTTTACACAATTGATAAAGGTTTATGTCCATTGCAATAAATGAGAAGTTTTTCATAGACGTTTTATTTATCTTGAGAAATTCTTTTAATTTTTATAAAGATATGCTATAGTGTTATTACAATAATAAGATATCATGATTATAACTAACATTTTTACCAAAAAAAAACAAAAAAAAAACATTGGATGGTTTTATCATATCGTACAAGTTAGTTGCATTGAACACGAAATTAAATGTTAGTAAATGTTAGTATTCATGTTCAGTTTAATTTGGACAGAAAAGTACTAGTTGTTGTGCTTACATTTTTAGACATGTTATTAAAATGGTGTCTCCTTGAATCCCTATATGTACATGTTATTTTGTTATCAGTTTATCAAAACATTCACAAAAGCCTGTATGACGGTTGTTAAACCTTTTGTTTATGTATTCTTATTGCTTTTAATTTGCACAAGTGAGTATAATGTATGTGGTAGAAAGCTTGTTGGTGAGGAGAAGACATCCCTTGGAGTTATGCCCATGTTGAATGACATCATTACTGGTGTCGACATTGGTGCAGATGGAATTAATGACGGAACGAGATCAACAATATTGTCCATTCAGAGACTTCTTCAATCACTCCTTGTAGGTCTTCAAAGACTCGATGCCAGGGATATAGTAACGCCTACAGGAGGGTACATGGGTGATACCCGAGAAAAACCTAATTTTGGAGGAGGTGCTGTTGTTGGTGCTCGTACCACACCTTGAGGTGGAGTTTGAGGCAAATTAATGCTACTTTTAGAATAATAGGGGAGCAAACAACTTGTTTACTATATTTATCTATCTATCTAATTAGTTTTAAGTAATTATGATATGACTTTATGTTAAAGATATATGTTCTACATATATCTATTTATGTTGTATTGCTCTCCTTTAATCAATAATGCGTTATGAATTAATTTTCATTCTAAGTTTTATGGCATATCATAATTCAACCGACGTACTTAAAAAATATAAAAGACGAAATTGAAACAAGATTTGAAATCAGCACATACATAGTTTACATGATTGGTGTGATCAAAAGCTTAAACAACCAAAAATAAATCATGGGTTCAAGAATTCGTAACATGCTGTCTAACAATCTCTTACTTTAATTTGTGTAAACATGGAATTAATCATATTTTTAACAACCTTTTACGTTTTTTATTTTTATTTGGCAACAATGATTGATTTGAATTAAGGAAATAGATTTACTAAGGTATATAACTTTTCGGTTTATTCACATCTTAGTAACTATCATTTATTTATTTATTTTTTTTTACATCTAGGTAATGAACTTTTTAGAAGTGTTCATATATAACCATTATGACCGACTGTAGCAGGTTACATCCGGTCATAACGGTCATATGTGAACACTTCCAAAAAAGTTCGTTACCTAGATGTGTACAAAAAAAGATGGTTATCTAGATGTGAACAAACCGAAAAGATAAGAGTAAATTACACGAATGGTCATTGTGGTTTGGGTAATTTGTATGTTTGGTCTCTGTCTTACCTCAAAAAACTATTATGTCATTTTTAATTTATTTTTTTAAATAATTTTCTTATTTATGTATTTATTTTTTATATATATTAAAAAAATTAATATACACCACATATCTGTATCTCCTTACCCTATACTTGAAACCACATCTGAAAATTTTAAGCTGGATCCCACCAGTCACCATCCTATCTCACATCCTCCACAACTTCGATTGGCATGGTCCCTGAATTTTTTTTAATACTTTTTGGTCTATTAAAAGTATTTTTGTCACGCTGTATGAATGTTTGTCATTTGAAGCCAATTATTTAATTGGTTTACCCAATTATTATTGTTCCCTTTAGTTAATTACATTTACATTTTATTATTCATTATATTTATTATTACTCAAAAAGATCCCAACACACCCACCCTCCCCTTCCAGCCCCCCGATATTGTTTCCCACTCATGGATTTAGTACAAATCAGAAAAACTATCATGTATAGGGTTTTTGGGCCAAAGGAATGAACATCAAAAAATAAATTATATATGCAATAAATTCCCATTATGATTAGGCACAATTACAAGTTTTGAGTTACCAAACCACCTTTCACTTGGCTGGCTGGTTTGCAGCCGGTGGGTCAAAAGCTAGTCTTTTTTTGGAACTGGCAAATATATTAATTGTAAAAAGGAAAAAACAAAGATATCCCGACTAGCAAGGAGCTAGCAGGGACAGTAGAGTTTCAGTTTACATCATTATCAATATCATCTCCTACTGCATTACATTGGAATTCAATTAATTAATTAAAAGGGCATGAGCACTGAATAGCCCATTCACAGATCTTTGCCGAGCTCCTGTATTTCAGCCACATGTAAACATTCGATTGAATGTTATCAGCAACCTTTGGGGGAGTAGTTGGCAGTTTTTTGAATAGCCTCCCATTCCTAGCCTTCGAAATCTCCTAGAGTGTACCATAGCATATGCTGATCAAGACCTTCCTATTCTTCCTGTGACTGCCCTGCTGTGATACATATTCAATCAGATCAGCTACTGTGTTGAATTGAAAGTAAGGCATGTTGCACCATTTCCAAAACCATTCCCACACAGTCTTCGCAAAAGGACAAGTGAGCAGAATACGATTTGGACTTTCATCCTCCTGCAAACATTGTCCACATTGGACTGATTCTAACGTTACACCTCTCTTGGATAGTTCTGTAGTTGCTGGTATCCTCCCAAGACTTGCTCGCCAGATGAAGCAGAGAACTTTGATGGGGACTTCCTTTATCCATTCCACTTTGATGTGAGGTACTAGATCCTTTGGCCAGTCGATCAAATGCCTGACCATGTCAACATGATATTTACCATCTCCTGATAGAACACATCTCCATTTGTCTTCATCTGTTGTTAGCCGAAATTGACCCACTAATGAATAAAGGGCTGTATGATCGGTGATATTTGGAGTAGACTTCCAGTTCCATTCTAGTCCGGCGAGCTTCACTATATCTTCCAATGTGCATCTTTTTTTCCTTTCCAAATCGAATAGATTCGGAAATGCTACCTTTAATGTTTCATTCCCAATCCATCTGTCGAGCCAAAACAATGTCTTATCACCTTTATTGACCTTTTTCTTCATAATAACCTCCATTGGCACCTCTACTTACCTTAGTTTTGTATCAATCGAGGCAATATTCTTCCAAACACCAATGCTCGATCGATTAGCTAGACATGAATCTTCCTTTGATTTTATTTTGTGAATTCCTCGATCGATTAGCTAGACATGAATCTTCCTTTGATTTTATTTTGTGAGTTCCTTGGATGACCTGCCTCCATAGTGTGTCTTGATTCAATCTTCATCCCCACCACTACTTTGCGATAAGATATAAGCTAAAGGCCCTAAGTGATCCCAATCCCAGTCCCCCTGCTTCTTTGTGCTCTATAACTTTTTCCCAAGTCACCCACTTTATCTTTTTATTGTTTTCCGTTTCCCCCTACAAAAATTTTCTTCTTATCCGTTCTAGTGCGCTTATGACCCCCATCGGTGCCACAAAGAGGGAGAAGAAGTAAGTGGGGAGGTTTCCCAGAACTGATTTAATGAGAGTCACCCTTCTACCGAACGACAATGATTTTGCCTTCCACGATGATAGCTTCCCATTGAATCTGTCAATTACCGGCTGCCAATTTTTCTTTAGGTTCATACTGGCGCCTACTGGTACTCCGAGGTAAGTGAACGGGAGTGTTGCAGGCTCACATCCAAGTGGGGCTGCCATTCGGGAAGTCTCACACATTGATGAGCCAACTCCAAACACCTTCGACTTGTGGAAATTAACTTTGATTCCTGAGGATATATGAAATCAGGGAAGTATTCGTGCCAAGTTCTTGATATTACTTTCAGCCCATTCGCCTATGAAGAGTGCATCATCTGCATAAAAAAGATGTGAGATCATTTTGTTTGACATTGGAATTTTAATACCTTGAAGCAGCCCTTTAGCACAAGCAGATTTCATTGCAACATTGAGACCCTCCATAGCAATTATAAATAAGAATGGGGAGAGGGGGTCCCCTTGCCTAACCCCCCTTTCAAGTGTGAATTCTTTGGTGGGAGCTCCATTGACAAGTACTGATGATCTAGATGTAGTTAAGTATCCGCGAATCCAATTACGCCATTTCTCACCGTACCCCATTTGCATCATGTTTGACTCCAGAAACAACGTGTCCTCCGTCTACTTCACCGCCTCTGCACCTAATTAATTGACTCCAGCTATGTGTCGTTACACCGCTATAAAAAACATAACATCTAAACTCGTCTCCAATTATTTCAAGCTCTACCTAATCCCCCCTCCACCTCTGTACCATTCTTTAAGAAAACTACCTTCGGACATAGTTTCTCTCCGTAAACATCGCCTACCACCGCCTCTATCTTCCACAAAAACAACTCATTCAACCTTCATGATTGGTCGCATTCCGCTATTGACTTTGAGTCGAAATCGGAGTCGGAGTCGGGGGAATACAGTGTATTCTAGATATGATGAAAGTGGACACGACTTTATACTGATTTCCATCGTTACCTTGTAATCGACCGATGAGGTCGACGCTCACTACTTCTTCTCTGTATTTTCATTACTTTTAAATTCTCTTTATTTTGACTTTTAATTATGTTGTTTGAAGATGCAGGTAACAGTCAATCTGAAGCGTTGGCCTATTGTCTCACACAGTTGACCAGAGGAAAAATCTTTGCTAGAATGAGGGCTTCATTCTAGTAACTCGACTGGACATGGTTTGTCATTGAAATAAAATGGCTCTTTACGAACAGCTTAGCATACCTTCACAGAGGTTCAATGGTGGAGCATTGCCTTTTAACCCTAATTCCAATGCTAACTCTGTTCCACCGTCATCTTCAACAACGGTGAGTTAAAAAGCACTTAACTTATGCTTTAATTTGAAGTGATTCACATCAATTTAGGATTATCGTATGGTTTTAGGGCACCATAAACGAAAGGGATACATTTTCCCCACTTCAACAATCGTCTTCAATGCACCCAACCAGGATGACAGACAATCTTCATTCTGAACTGAACAATCAACGTGTGCAACAAGAACATAATAGGAGACAAGAAGATGACGACTTTAGGATTCCAATCTCCGATCAACAATTTGGAACAAGTCAAAATCATTAAAACAAAGAAAACAAACGCATCACTACATTTTGTGTAACAGCCTTTTCAGGTCATTTATGAAAGGTTGAGAATGCTAGACAAATCATCAATAAACTTAAAAAGAAGGCTCTCAAGATTTTACTAGATCCACCTCAAATCAATAGTCCAGGAAAAACCCTAAAGTTCTTTGAAGGAGATGAACGAATCTTCAAATTTTAGTCACATAAATCCTTAAAATTATTATTGCTGCTATTCCTTGGAACCCCAAAATGGACCATAGGTCTTTATGAGGTAAATTATTTGTTTATTTACAAGTTTACATGGTTCTTGAATTTTTACATACTTCCTATTGATTTTTCAGTAGGATTAAAAAACAGTCACTTGAGGATTCAAGAGCATGGTTCTCAATAGCTTCCATCTGATCACCAAGTAAGAAAACCATATTCATCTTTTCCATCCTTGGCAAAAATATTGCTTTTTTCTATTTCTTTGACTAATTTTGTTGATATTTTGCAATGTACTTACCTTCTTTCACACTCAACTAATAGTAAACTTGAGAACACACATTGGTTAGCAACTCAATAATTTCCATCACTTG